GAGACGACCATTGATGAGTTAATAGAGAACTTCCACCAACTTGGTGCGTGCATGTTGATGAAAATGCATTTCCTTCGGTCCCATCTTGACTATTTTCCAGAGAATCGTGGGGACTTCAGTGAGGAACAGGGTGAGCATTTTCACCAAGATCTCTGTGCGATGGAGGAACGTTATCAAGGCCGATGGGACTTTCTGGCTGACTACTGCTGGTGCCTGCAGAGGGATGTAGTGTCTGCTCAGCACAATTGGAAGTCCCTGAAGAGACCTTTCATCCATGTTTAGGTTTTTTTGTTTTTTACTCTTTTTGGTATATTTGAAGAATATTTTGTAAATCGTCTGTTAATAAACAAAAAACATCACAATATAGCAATATCTGGTATGTGCTTATATCTCAAAAACTTGATCTGATTGGGTAAAATGAGCATGATTTTAGGAATAGGGGCAAAAAAACTGGCTTAAAATCAGGTATTTATCTTACACCTTCAAAATATGGCAGACCAGTGAATTGGCAACCAAACAGTGACTGTGTCATATCAAATTCAGTCATTGTTTGGGTATTCAATAGCCAGCTTGAATATAATTGAAGGGAGTCTACTAAATTTCTCTCCTGCAGACTGAAGGAGAGAAATTGATTTGTGTCTGGCTGACCTAAGACCAAACAGAGCCCTAGAAAGATGTACGCAGGCCATAGATGATATAAATATGAAAAGCTCCATGCCAAAGATATAAAAAATAGTTATATAGCTACAGTCAGTGTGGATTGTGCAAATAAACAAATATGTGTATGACCGCACCAGGGGTGGACTGACAACTCATGGGGCCCCCGGGCAATAGGTGATCATGGGGCCCCTGTGTCCTTGCCCAAACTCAAAAAAGCCTATGAAAAAGGTACCAGGGGCATCTCATGGGGCCCCCTACTAACCCCGGGCCCTCGGGCAGTGCCCGAGTTTCCAAATGGTCAGTCCGCCACTGGACCGCACTCAAAATCTCAAGTGTTAAAACAAGAAAAAGCGTTAAAATAAAACCATATAAAAGGTATTTTATAAGGCCACAGATATGATGCTTATTTTTTTCATTCAACCTGCGTGTTGAACGGAAAAAAAAATAATTTCGTTCCCCCCATCAACACACTGGGTTTTTTTTTTTTAACTACAACTCGAGCTTACAAAATCTGCTGCAGCTCTACGTAGAAACCAATCAGCTTCCAGGTTTTATTGTCAAAGCGTAAGTGAACAAGCTGAAGTTAGAAGCTGATTGGTCACCATGTACAGCTGTACAAGATTTTGAGTACTCCAATTTTAGTTAATCTCCTCAGTGGGGAGAGTTTCCCGCTGACAAAATACAATGATCAGTGTCACCAGCGCCAGCCAGCGGCACTGAATGAGCAAAAAAAAAAACCATCTGGCTGGTTGTACAGAAGTCGATGGAGAATTGATTTCTGTACAGCCAGCCTGCTCATAGATGAATTGAAATTTGGTTGGTCTCTGCTGAACTGGCCAAATTTCATTCTATCTATGGGCAGGCTTTAGCGTTGCTGCCTTCCCCCTTCAAGCCACATTTTTGTATTTTGTATGTGTACCTTTTTCACAATTATTTTTATAAAAAATAATATATGATATACAATAATATAGTACAATGGTAATATACGTAAGTAAAGTGCCACACGTTTTCACCTTTGATAAATGTTTATTTCTACTTTATTCTCATTATGGACTGTAAAACTATGCTATTCTGAACAATCTACTACACTCTTATACCCCGACTGACTGTAAAGCTTTCCATCTTCTGCATAATCCCTTTATACCCTAATTAGCTATGACCTTTAAACTCTTTATATAATCCCTATATACTTTAATTGAGTGTAAATTCTTTTTCTTTCTGCATCTCTCCTTTATACCCTATTAAATTTCAAATTGTTCCACCTTCTGTATCCACCTTTATATATGCTAATAGACAGGGGTGGACTGACAACTCATGGGCCCCCGGGTAATAGGCGATCATGGGGCCCCTGTGTCCTCGCCCACACTCAAACCACACACAAAATGCCTATGAAAAAGCCTATGAAAGGTACCAGGGGAATCTCATGGGGCCCCCTACTGACCCCAGGCCCTTGGGCAGCGCCTGAGTATCCAAATGGTCAGTCCGCCCCTGCTAATAGATTGCAAACTCTCCCACCTTCTCTAACCTTCCATGTATATTAAAGGATCGCACACTTTTCCATTTTCTGTTACCCTCCTTTATGCTCTGAAAAATTTCAAGTTTTTCCATTTTTTGTATCTAAGATTGCTCTTATAACTTTTGTATCCCTCAAAGTACAGGGGCACTGCTGTTGAGTGGGCACTGTCATCAGATTTTTTACTATTACATACATGCTGGTTGCCAGTCACCAGGGCCCAGTATGTCTGTGTTAAGTTGATTAGTGTGCCTCTTCTCTGCCCTGTTCCTATTATACCTGTTATTATGCACATACATGCTTGCACTGCATTTTCAACATTGAAACAACACAGCTCAGAAGCAACATGCAGCTGTCAATACAGTGTCTTGTTTTACTGGCATACATGTCATTTATTTTTTTTTATGTTTAATTTTTGTACAAAGGATTTGTGTGATTGCTGTTTATCGTTTTAAAAAACATTTACATTCCTGGTACATTCCCGGGAGTGTAACTGTCACCTTTGACACCAGCCTAGGGTTGCCACCTCATCCCATTAGCCTGGGTTCATAGTTCTGCATTCCTGTGCAAATCACATGCGAGTTCTGTGGCTGCAATACAAAATGTATGGCTCAAATCGCACCACATCTGCACCAAAAAGGTGCAGGACCCTTTTTTGGTCTGTACTAGAGTCAGATCTCATGGGTAGTCACACCCATGTGATCTTATTCTGCATGTCGCACTGTGTTTTACGAACCAATTTCAGGGTGTTGTTAACTTAACATACACACCCACAGTGGTCCTCATGAGTGCGGTGTGGAATTCACACAGAAATGGGTGTGAATTCCGCACCGCATCAGTGTGAACCCAGGCTAAAACCTGAACACATATTAATGACACAGGTTCTGAGGCTAATTTAATGCAGATAACGCACCAAGTGAGTTTAATTACCACCTTAATGAGCCACAGAACCTGTGTCATTAATATGTGTTCGGGTTTAAAGTGATGAGGTGGCAACCCTACATCAGCCATCAAATGGCTGGTGTCATAACTGATCAAAAGTCCAAAAAGGCAGGACAAGAACATGCTGACAATGACAGTTTTTTAGCCATCTTTTTTTTGGGGGGGGGGGGGGTTGCTGAAAATGGCCTATAGGCACAGCAATTACATTACATTAAGCAAAACTGTAGCTGCTGACGTTTAATAAACAGACACTAAGCTGTCCAAGGATCCAGATGCTGTTCTCACCCGAGACAGTTTATTCACCACTTATAGGTCCCCGGTGATGCTAGGGTGAATGCTTAACTTATGGTGCATCTAAGCAAAAAGGCAGGACAGCAACATGCTAACAATGACAGTTTTTCAGCCAGTTTTTTTTTTTTTGGGGGGGGGGGAGGGGGGGGGGGATTGCTGCAAATGACCTATAGGTGTATCAATTACATTACATAAAGCAAAATCTGTGGCTGTTGAATTTTAAAAGACAGAAACTAAGCTGTCCAAGGATCCAGATACAGTTCTCACCCGAGATGGTTTCTTCACCGGTCATAGGTTCCCGATGCGGGCATTTTAACTGTGGGCAGCCATTTATGACTCTTAGCGGCTTCACAGTCGGCTGCCCACTGCACATGTACGAGCCGCACCATGCCTAGTGAATGATCTTGCAGCCTTCTGGGACCTGTCATGTGTTTCAGGAGGGTGCAAGCAGGATGGGGGGAAGGAGAGCTTCCTCTCACTGCCTCTGCGATCCAAAAGAAATTGGAGTTGGTACCTCTCAAAACTAGCCCCCCCCCCCCAAAAAAAAATGTTCCAAAAAGTAAAGATGAGGGGGGAGGAGGAAGAAGAGTGGAAATTCACCTTTTTGGTGAAGTTCGGTTTTAGGTACTCAAATGCATTCCATACTTTGTTAACTGAAATAAGATTAAATGAAGTTATTTATTTTTAGTCTTGGACATAATACTGTATATCAATAAAGGCCATTCCCACTTTGCCATTCTGATATGTTGTGTCAATGCACACCTTTCATGTGTTGTGCTTAGGTTGACCATTTAAATGAATTAGCCAATGCACCAGAATGGTCAAAGAGTCATGTATTATTTTTTCTGATACATAAATCAATGCACAGTAGTGTGTTACTGTGGTTTGGGGTGCAATGCAATGCATGTGTGTTTGAGGCATATTGCTCTAGTCAGTGCATTAGAATTTCATTAACCACTTCCAGTCCAGGCCAATTTTCAGCTTTCAGTGCTATCACACTTTGAATGACAATTGCGGTCATGCAACACTGTGCCCATATGAATTTTTTACCATTTTTTTGAGACAGATAAAACTTTAGTTTGGTGGTATTTATTCACCGCTGGGATTTTTTTTTTGCTATGTAAATGAAAATGTCCAAAAATTTAGAAAAAAAAGTGTTTTTCATATAAAATTTTGCAAATAAATAATATTTCATCATAAATCTTGACCACAATGTATTCCGTTATCTTTTTAGTAAAAAAAATTAAAAAATAAGCCAAATTAGTTTATAACCAAAAATTATAATTTTTAAACATTTTTTTTTACATTTTTATTTTTTTTTTATATTATTATTTATTTTTTTTTTTTTTACATACTGTCACCCTAGCAGTACAGTGTCACCATGGGGGGTGATGAAGATTTTTTTTTTTACACTGATTGCTTTTCCACCCATATAGGATGTAAAAGCAATCATTTCTCTTTCTCTCTGTCTGCATTCTTGCAGCCATTGAGGACTACTGAGTGAGCTGTGATTGATCACAGCTTGTCACATGGTACAAGGCTGTTGTGAATAGCCTTGTACCATGTGACCTCTGTGATCATTCACAGATTTCACATGTAATAAGCAATGATGTCAGAAGTGACATCTTGCTTACTACTTTGCATGTGATCACTGATTGGTCAATCAGTGATCATATGATCGGACCTCGTACAGAGGTCCCGTCTGACGATTGGTGCTTCAATGTGTCCGGAGGACACAGCAGGCACCAGATTGCGGTGCTGCGCGCGCTCCCGGGGAGCGTGCACAAGCAGGGTGCGGGGAGGCCATTTATAAACGAATGCCACCGTCCCGGCTGGTTTAAAAATGGTTAAAAAATGAATAGCATGCAGCATTTTAATGTGCATGTGCATTGTGGTAACACATGTATTACTGCAATGTGTCAGCACAGTTGGGTCTAAACAGAGGCGTAGCTAGGATATTTTGTGCCCGGGGACGAACGGCCACCTCATGACACCCCCCCGCTTCATATGGTTCCTGTAGACACCCCTCCCCCCCGTCCCGGTCACATTGCCCCCCCCCCATCCATGGCACTACTCACCTGGCTCGGCTCTCCCCCTTGTCCCCTCTGGCACATGCCTGGCTCACTGCCCTCCTCTCCGCTCCTCTCCCGGCCGGTTCCTCTCTCCTCTCATAACTCACTGTGGATGGCAGATGAGATGTATCAGATGACACATCTGCTGCAACTGCTGCTGTGATCTTGTGACCTCATTTTTGCACCCCTGTACCTTGGCATATGTACCCCCCTGCCCCCCCCCCCCCCAGCTACGCCTCTGGGTCTAAATCAGCCCCAAAAGAATGTAGAAAACAATATGTACTCCATTTATGCTAAGTATACAACTTTATGATATGATATGACACACAAAAAAACTAGCAATTAGACAACTGCGAATGTGCATTTATTATTAGATTCCTTTGTGCATCCTTGTATGTCCAGTCATAAAAGGAGAACTATATACAATAGAATGCATAAAACGTTTGGTTGCAGTGGGTTTTTGACTGCACAAACTTGTAAATCTGGGTGAGTTCTTTTCTGTCTTGGAGGTTAAAATTGGCTGTTGCTTAAGTCAGTTTCTGTTTCTCTATCTTCCTGTAGGCAGAGTGTGAGTGATGTTGCAAACAGGCTTGGGATTTCCCTTTGTGGCAGTTTCTGTCGTGGACATTGTACAAACATATTATGTTTCAACTGCAGTTTCATATTAAATCTTGTTTTGATGGACCAAAAATATGTTGTTCTTTGAATAATTGGTAAAAGCTTTTCATTTTTATTGAAATAAGAGTCTGCTTGTAAATATTTACAACTAAATTTAAAACTGAGACTTGAAACTTGCCATCCGTTACACAATGAAACATTTTTCACATTTGGAACTTTTATTAAGCCCCGTTCACACCAATGCTATTTGTCATGCAATTTGACAGTTCAAAATCACATGACAAGTCACACCCTCTTTGTGTCTATGGAACTATTCAAATTGGTGCAACTCAGACCTTGAAAAAGGTTCCTGCACTATTTTTGGTGTTTTTCCCGTGTGACTTGCAGCGACATCTGTGTATGAAGTCTCACAGATTTTGGCAAGCTACACATGATATCACACTGACCAGCGGCTTTGAAATCGCGCTCCTTCAGCTAAAGTAGTGCAATTTCAAAGCAGCATTCAGTGTTAACAAGGGCTAACCCACGTGGAAGAAAAATATATTTGAAATATATTTTAAAAATATTCTTCCCAAATATATTGTATATTGTCATATATTTACAATGCTACAATTTTGGCCATATTCAATATATATATATATATATATATATATATATATACATACATACATACACACACTGCATGTTGAAATGTGTTTTTATTACAAAATATAAGAAAAATATTTTTAAAAATACATTTCAAATATACTGCATCTTTAAAAATACAAATCTACATTTTTGGAATGCAAATGCATTTACAAATATATGTAAACTTATGTTTTTTATTAAATTTTATTTAAATTTAAATTTTATTAGGTTAAAAAAAAATCTAAAGAATATATTTAAAATAAAATGTTTTTAAAAATAGATATTTTTTTAAATATATTCGTCAGATTTTTTTTAACATATAAAAAAGTCATATTAACATATATTTTTACATATATTTGTAAATGCATTCCAAAAATTTAGATTTGTGGTTTAAAGACATACAGTATATTTGAAATGTATTTTAAAAAATATTTTTCAGATATTTTGTAATAAAAAAGCATTACAACAACATACAGTGTATATATATATATATATATATATATATATATATATATATATATATACACACATACACACACATATACATACATACATATATATATATTTTTTTTTATTGAAATATATTTTGCAATATATTGAATATGGCCAAAATTGTAGCATTTCAAATATATGGCAATATATTTGGGTAGAATATTTTTAAAATATATTTCAAATATCTATAAACAGTGACTAAAAAAAGTACACATAGACAGCGATATGTCAAAACACAATGTCCATTTGATATAAAAGGATAAAGGAAAGAAAAAACGTCCACCAAAAAAAATTATAAAATAAAAATATAATGTGAAAAGTTCAATTCATTCCAGTGGTAAGTGTCTCTTTAAGATAAAATGATCCACCATCCATGTGATCCTGCAGTGATTAACACCCCCTTGGATTCAACACTCACCAGAAGTGTAAAATTAGTAGGAATTCAAACAATCTCCTTAATAATGAATGGTTGTGAAATTTCGAACTTGATAATCAGACATCAGCCCAAAAGGACCTCCAATCAATTGGTTATTAGTATCTCATACTCCGATCTCCTCCTCATTCAGATTGAGAAATATCATCTCCATATGTGAGTGTTGAATCCAATGGGGTGTTAATCACTGCAGGATCACATGGATGGTGGATCACTTTATCTTAAAGAGACACTTACCACTGGGGGCTTCCCCCAATGGCTTGTAAATACCCATCTTAGAAAGGGGGAAAAAGCCTGCTTGAGAAATGAGGAATTGCTCACAGTAAAGTGGAAGGACAAGCGGGATGTTCTTGTCCTGTCTTCCATTCACCAGATATGACCATCCAAATTACCATGGCAGCTGGTGTTGTTGAGAAGCCCCTCTGTGTCCATGACTATAACCTTAACATGGGAGGGAGGACTTCAATGACCAGATGATGAAGCTGTACTTAGTTTCCCAAATAGCCAGACACTGGTACAAAAAAGTGTCTGTTTATTTCAATTGGCTCTATATAATGCTTTTGTGCTTTACAAAGCAACTGGATGAAATGGATCTTTCCTAAAATTCCAGGAAGAGATCATCACAGCCCTTTTGTATCCAGAAGGTGCTGTGCACCAAACCCCCAACCAGGGGCGGACTGACCACTCGGGCACTGTCCGAGGGCCAGGGGGGGCCCCATCAGAGGCTCCTGAGAGGACAGGGTGGGATGGATAGAGCAAGCCAGAAAACCTATTAGATCTGAGGCTAATAAAAATGAAGAAAAAAATGCTTTTTTTCTGTAAACAGTTGTGCTGGTTGTAGAATACAAGAGTGACCAAGACTTATCTTTGCTAATTGGGGCTATAGACACAGCAGAGTATTTACCACGAGGCAAACAAGGCGTTTGCTTAGGGCGGCATTTTTTCAGGGGAGCAGTGTCGCACCCCCAGTAGAAGTGACAAATGTGGCAGCTGGTGACGGAGGATGAGGAGCAGGGCACAGGCACAGCAGTGTGGGCTGCTGGAGAGTGTCCGATTCTTGGTCCCGGATCATTATCAGAGATCAAAAGACGTTGGGATTTCCTGATCAGGCCTCCTGAAGTGGCCAGAGAGCTGTGAAGGTGAGTTCTGGAATCTCGCTCGCTCTCTTTCTCATGTGGGGGGGGGGGTGTGCGCCCCATCTTACTCTTTCCTAGGGTAGCACACAACCAAAATACACCACTGTATAGAGATAAGAATGACTGTTAAACAGGTAGTTTTACAGTTGAACAATGGGACTGATAGTACTATATATAGTAATTGTATAATCTGTTTCTATTGATCTTGCCTAGACACAATAATCTGAATGAAAATATGACCTGGTAATTACAAGAAATAGTCCTGACTTTGAGCATTGCTTGTGAGCTATTTCTGAACTCCAAATAAAAGTGCTGCAGGCTGTTCAAGGCCTCTTTTACTGTAATGGGTGCTCTTCATGCTTGCTGGGAATTCTGCATCCTGGTGGGCAAGATCTTTCCATCTGCCAAAAAGAAGTATTAAGGTACTTTGCTTGTGTACCTATCACCGCTAGAAGGAACCTAGTATTTCCCTGCTCTTTATCATCCATAGCGTACCTTATTCTTTACTGATAGTAAAAAATCTGCATATCGCTTATGTCAATGCGAAAGAAGACAATTGTTTAAATCCAATTTGTAAGGATATTTTTTCCATTGATGCAACGCCATTGACGTTTGGTGCAACTCTTTTGATCTGGTTATATGCTGTGGGGCTTATTTACTAAAACTGCAGAGTGTAAAATCTTGTGAAATTCTGCATAGAAACCAATCGGCTTACATGTTTTATTGCCAAAGCTTAATTGAACAAGCTGAAGTTAGAAGATTGGTTACCATGCACAGCTACACCAGATTCCAAGTGCACCAATTTTAGTAAGTCTACCTCTTTGTGTGATTTATCGATCTTATTTCAGCAGTCATTTAACAGGGATGCTAATCTCTCTCTCTCTGTTGTAGAAATTGGCCAAAAGCATGCTTTACAAATGTGTATTGGTGAGAACAAACTCTACTGAAAAGAATTACATTTGTTGATGTACATACATTGCCTATGCTGTACATCCCTGTCTTGGAAAATTCTGCAAAATGAACATCAGGAACAAGCCAGGATACTAAGTAATGACCATTAATAAAGAGGACCTAATGCAAGTTAAGAACCTGTACATTGAGCTGAGGTATTGTTTATCAATTGAATCTACCTTGAAGTTTCATTAAAAAAAATTGCTGTTGTCAAAGTTCACATATTGGACTTTAATTTGTTTCCTGGCAGCAGATACTAAAGGTTCTGATTTCCAACAGGTGATTGATGTCTACTGCGAACAGATGACACACACAGCACTTGGGGTGCATAGTTTCACTTTGGAGAAACAGCATCCAACAGTCAAAAGCTGTGACAACAAATTGTCACTATGTGTGGATAGAAGGAGGTGAGAGAT